ACCAGGGAATGAGCATGGCCGTGGTCTCTACCAGGGAATGAGCATGGCCGTGGTCTCTACCAGGGAATGAGCAAGGCCATGGTCTCTACCACTAACAGGCAATGCTGGTGACCTCAGAAATTCACAAGAATAAAGAAAGGGCAAGACCATCTTCCAAAGAGTATGCAACATCTACTCAATTGATGAAAAGGTACTGAGCTGTGTACAAGACACAGGCTATGCAAACCAGGGTGAGGATGGATAAGGATGTTCATTCAAGGGGCGTGATGGGGACCCACGAGGTGGGTGGAGATGCCCAGGAGATGAAAGGCTTCAGCTGGAGGCTTAGGGGAGGCTCCCAAGATCCAGCCCCACTCTAATGCACTCAATGCCACCCAGAGATAGACTGGCACAGAAATTAGACAGCAAAATGGCCTGGAACGCTCCCCGCCCTTCATGTGTCAGACGTCTTCACACATCCACAGGCATGTCCAAGACTCTCTCGCTACTGAGGGGCACAGTCACGCGGAACCTGGTCTAATCCCAGTCCAGCGTTCCTGCGCCTAAACCGTGTCAGACGTGCAGTTTAGTAGTTATGGTGCATGGAAGCCAGGTTTCCGGGAGATTCTTCATTTCTGGGAGATAAATTAGGATTCCCTCTCTCCAAACAGGAGTGACAAAATCAAACAGGCCATTCGCTGGCCACCCTCCATCCCAAGTGTCTGAGGGACGTCAAGGGAAAGACGTGCCTCAGCACTCTCTTGGGTGGGGTTTCCGTCTGTCTGACTGTGCGTCAGGCTTCCTTCGCCTTTTCTGGTTCCTTGGCCACTTCCCCAGGGTTTCTCCTGTCTGGGCTGCCCAGGATGCTGGATGTACCAGCTACTCCTTCCTCACTTGTCCTCATCATCTTTACCAGAGCCAGTCTCCACCAGCTCTGAAGTAAACTCCACGTGATGCTGAAATTTACTAAGAGCATTTGAAATAAAAACAAGACTAGCCACCAAACAGGAAAAACACAGGGCAGGGTAAAAGCGCACACATATGCACACACATGCGCACGCTCTGTGTACACCTGCGCTTGGCCTTGACTCTGGCACGGACCGGTGCACCTTCCCACACACCTCCCGGTTCTACTGCTGGTGATTGTGACCGAAAGAGCAGGGACACCTACCTGGGGTTGCTCTCTTAACTACTCCAATCAATTAACAAAACTAACTGACCAAGAGCATGTGAACAATTGTTAAATCAAATAACGATTTCAGGAAAGTGCGCTCTGGTCACAGAAAGTCAATGGCATACCCACCTTAACCCCTATTCAAGTCCACTGGGTGAGCTTTGTAAACTAGTCTTCAGTTCCACACTCCATTGTTAATGCTAACTTCTTAAAAATTCTGGTATCCCTCCAATCTAGGTCTAGTTTAAAAGCACAAGAAAAAATATTTTCAAAGTTGTTGTTTACGGAATAAGGACCAGTGTAGGTCCACCTCTGATGATACAAGACAGTCAGAATACTATGTGTCTCTAATTCCCCAATTTTCATTACTTCTGGTTTGAAAAAAGCAGAAGAAAATTAAATTTGGCCAAATTTCCAGTGAAACAAAAGAGGCAGGTCACTTTCGTGATTTTATTATGGTTGCTTTCGTAATTATCGAGACCATCTGAGGGGGACAAAAGTATAGATAGAACATTCTAGAAATTAAATCTTTACCTAGCTCTATAGAAGTTGCTTATGAGTACTCTAATAGACCCTCTGTGAGCTGACCACTCGAGGGACTGTAAGAGACTGGTCAACATAAGGAACTAGGCCTACGGTGCTGACATATACAAGTGGTCCATGTTCCGTCTTTGAAAATCAGGTCAACTTAAGGAGATAGTGTGTGTGTGTTTGTGGGGGGTGGGGGGTGGTCAGCTTCACCTATAGTTCAGAAAAAAGGTATCATTAACTATAGGAAAATTTTAAATTATTTTTAAATAATATGAATAATGATCCACTCAATTTATGACTTTTTATGACTGAGAAGTCTTGTCCTGGTATGACACTGTAGATAGGATTAAGGGATTTAAATTTCAGGATTAAGATGAGCTATCTTTCAGACATTTTTCCTTCCTTATATTTCACTGGCAAAATAACTTCGAGTATTACTAAATTCTTCTGGATTATGCAAAAGCTGCTGAACAAACTTTGATATATGACATATTAGGCTGACAACCTATTGCCACATATGAATAGACCTAACTATTATACAATATTCATTTTCTGTTCAGAAATTTTATGCAATGGTGATATTAAGATAAAATATTTAGTAACAGAAAATTCAGGAAAATGGTGCTCACATGATAAATATTCTGCACTTACGGCAGTCCAGAAGTCATATAAATTCGGTGAATATTTTATCACAGTGGATCACTTAACTTTCTGTGCTGAAAGGAAAAAGCCAACGGCTGCCCACGTAATTCCCTAAGTCTGATATGGATCAAATGGCAGAGATAAGTCCACAGGCAGAAATGAGCCTCTCCAAATTTCATAATTAATTACAATATCATCCCTTGCATGATCTTTTAATCCCTTTATGACCACCAGCTCTTCAAGTCCTGTACAGTAATTCTCAAGGCTGCCTCCTGGTCAGGGAGCTACCGTATCAGACTGTTACAGTGGACTTTTCAATTTAAAAAAGTATGAAACCACTGACTTGGAAATGTACAAGCCACAGGAACTAACTGTAAGGATATGTTTAAGTAATTGATCTGTTGGCCCTTTTAAAAACACTATTTGTAGAAGACAGAATCTCTCTAAATTATATTAGAAATGTTCTCATTGTTTAAGACCTCTTCAACACCGATCCTTCAACTACAAAAAATAATGCCTCTATGATACCTTTTGAAATCCGCCTTTCGATGCTGCTGAGAACACCTACAGAAGCTGAGAACCCAGCACAAACTAACAATCTGACCTAGTGGCCTATAGACTTTTAACCTAGAATTTAGCTGGGTCCAAAAGACGGCGAACAGGGGGGCAGCAATATGCATATACTTGAAAGAGCATCGGTTTCAGAGTTAGAAGACTAATATGGGTGTTTGCTCTCCCAAGCAGCTGAGTTTGTGTTTAACTCAAGATCCCTAAAATGTAACTTGAAACCTTCTTAAACTAGCTGCTACAGAGCTCTGTAGCCATGCAGAGCAAAGGTCCAGGAACTGCATAAAGCTTGTGCAATCTGCATTCTCTCACTCCTTTTACTAACACCACATTTATCTCAACAAACTGCCTCAAATGCTATGTCTATTTCTAAAAATTATTCCAAAAACGACTGTGTGACCTGGAGATCATTCCTTAACCTGTTACACTTAAATTTTACTCACATGTTAAAGTGGGACAGTCTCAAGATACACACACATGACCTTTAGAAAGATCCCTGGAGAAGATCAAACGTAGGAAGGATCCTCTATAAATTGTGGTCAAGTAAAGAGACTTTTCATTACAGTACAAATTAGTCATCAAGTCTGGTAATCCCTTAAATAAACACACGTATTATTGATTTGTTGTTTCCTATTATAATATTTGGCACTAAAATTTAAAAATAACCTCCCCCCACCCCAGTCTCTAAAAAGTATATGAAACAAAAGATGAATGAGGGGGAAGTAACTGCTTGAGATGTTTTCACAAGTGTTTACTAAACTAACACCCGAACTTAAAAACCCTGAAGACACGTGACGAGATACCTTCACTGATTCTTCCAGCCAGACCAGAATCCTTCAAGGAAAAGGGGGAAAGAGCACCAGGAATGACAGGACTAAACCTGATCACTTACAACACGCCAGGCAACTTGGTAGGCATTCTAATGATGCTACTTATTTTTATGAGAAAAGTATTGTTATCCCCCACTTTATAGAAGAAGAAACAGATCTCAAGAGGGAGGAGCTCGGCCAAGGGCATACAGTGGGTCTAGTTAAACAGTAAACCAGGGTTCACATGCTATCTCTCGGATCTCAAAGCCCACATCCTATCTGCGCCACAGTACTTGTGGGGAGATGGGCATCCTCTCAAGTTAGTTGAGCTGGGCCTGCCTAAAAGTCAGCTGTGTAAAGAAGGAAAGAACCAGCCAGGGAAGGACAGATAGGAGGGAGGTCTATTCTCTATAAAGAATTTGGAAACAAACTCAAGGGCACAAATCTGTATGTTTTAAGGCGCTGTGAGGTAGGTTACACATACATTTTTGCAGAATAATTTGTAGTCTATAATTCAGAGAACATTTGAACATTTAAGTTTGCAAATTTTGGTTTTGCTTTTGCCTCTGTTATTTTTTTAATTTTTATTATATTAAATCATAACTGTGTACGTCAATGCATTTGTGGGCTACAATGTGCTGATTTTATATCCAATTTGGAACGCTTACATCAAGTTGGTTAACACAGCCTTGACTTCACTTACTTGATGTGTTAAGATGTTTATATTCTACTCTTAAAAGATTTGACATGTACCCTTGCTTATGTACAATAGGAGAGGTCCCACCCATTACCCTCCCTCCACCTGGCCTCCCCTCGCCCCTCCCCTCATTTTGCCTCTATTCTTATTTGAAGCCCTTTTATAGATTTCATAGAAGCAAAGTTTGAGCTAAAACATCCTTAACTATGTCCCCACCCTCATTTCGCATGTAAGGGACTGAGCTCCAAGAGGTAAAGACAGTCAGAAAAACAGTAAGAAACAGGTGTCGCTCTTTTGGGGGTGTACTAAACCCATGATCTTTCCACCAAATGCAGGCATGACTTCCCAGGCAAGACTGCTTCCAAACTCTGTGGTCTACTGAGAAACTCAGATTGTTTTGCTGGGCGTGAAAAACCTATTTTCTTTATTCTATAGTGTCACAAAGACAGGTAGAAGCTAAACGCTTATTAAACGATGATCAAACTTACACCCAATTTAATCAAGCAATTTAGTCCCTAGTATATGCTGGGCGCAAAGAAAGAGAATAAGCCACATTCTCACCATCTAGAGGGAGAAATGTATCTATGAAGAATTCCTGGGACCAGAGTCAGCAGTTCCGGCAGGACTGTGCTCAGGAAGAACTGCCACAAAAATGCCCCTTTGGCCCTTTTAAAACATTTAAAAACTTTTTTCAACTAGGCCTCTCTCCCAACATGACCTTACTGCTTAACTTGGCTCACGTGGCTTTCAGTTCAATGGTAGACCCTTCACCAGGGCTTAGCCCTGAGTGGGTGAATGAGTAATACACAATCCTACAACCTGAAAACAGATCTAGTTGAAGCTTACCAGTTTTTAGATTAAAGTAACCTTGCATCCTTAGCTCACCTTGTCTACTGGACCTATCCAACATTACTTACAAAGCAAAGTATACCAGCCCAACATCTAAAATTACTTATGGCACAGATGGAGCTACAAACAGTATGCAAAGAAGATAGGGAGTACGTGCTTTGCTCCCCTCCAAAAACATAAACAACGTGTTGACAGTACCTTAAAATGGTACTTAAAAAAAAGAGCATCTTACCTCTTAAGTCTGATATTGCTCTAGAGACTTCTCCCTACCACTTGTCTATGCTAGAGTAAGCAGTATTTACGGCTGATTCCTCTACTTCCCCCAATGAAAGGGAGAAGGAGGAATTCAGAGATTCTAAATTTAAGAAATAATATATTTCTCTTTAATTTAGGATATTTTTTCCTCCATCAGGATTTTAAAAGCTGCGTCCGTTTCAGCAGGAGACGCCATCTCTGCAGGCGTCTGGAGGGACGGCAGGCCGCTGCAGGAGCAGCTGGGTGCAGGGACTTTGCTACATGGAGGGGTCGCCTGGCTATGGGATGTGAGAGGAAGGAAGGAGCTTACCTAAGGGCGGGAAAAGGACTCTGAGAAGCCTTGGAAACACCTTAAGTCTCAGTATCTTAAAGGTCTCTAAGAAAAACTGTGTTCAAGAAACCATCTTACCTTTTTTGATTCATAAGCAGCTCTCTGTGAAGATCCTGATGGTTCCTGGAGGTTTTGACAGGATTGATCAGTTTCTGAGGCCTAATTAGTTCAGGATTGTCGTCCTCTAGATAGTCCGGCTCAGCCATGATGTTTCTCGGAATGAGATATGAGTCCTTAGGGTCGAGATCCTCAAGTGGGCCGTCTGAAATAGAGGAAAAGAAATACTGAGCTGTGGTCTTTCTACAAAGACATCTCGCAAAAGGCACGCAGCCTGGGCTTGGTAGAGCGCTAAGGCATCTTGTCCTGGCAGGTCCACGTGGGACATCCCTAATAAACTTTCTACAACACCGGGAATGTGACTGGGAACAGAGATGACAGAACAGCAGCCTGGGTCTGTGCTACCTGTGGGTAAGGCCGAGGAACCCTGTGACATGATCCCGGCCCCTACACCCCACAGGCCCCAAGCTGCAGGCACACAGGCTTCCTATGGCCATGTCTCAAAGTCAACCTCACGATGAGCACGTGGGTGTGTTCAGAGAAAGGAAAATTCAAAAGAAACAATGCTGCAGCCGGACGTGTACATACTAAAACCCAGGCCTGCATCAACCGAAGTTGAACTTTTGCCTATGTAACTGGAGTTTGCTAAATAGTTTGCTGACAGGTGCTGGTTAGAAACCGGCTTATCAGATGTGGGACAAAGACAGGATGGAATCGGTCTCCACCGACCCTCAGCCTTCCCTCCAAGCCACATGACTACCTTATCCGCCCCGTGGTGTCCCTGAGCTCCAATCAGAATCACATGATTGCAGCGCGGCCTCCCTCCCTGCTTGCCCCTCCCCCCCACCTCCCCACCCCAGTCTGTGCCACACAGATTCCCTCCCTGCTGAAAAACCACAGATGCTGTGCCTCATGTAACCTGCTTTGGGACAAACTTGGCCGAGAATAAGTCTGTGACTTCTCTAAGTTCTAATGCCTGTTATTTCACTTTGGGGTCAACAAGCACCAGATCCAGGGACTTTACTGCATCCTTCAGAGCCAGCAAATGACACAACAGGACAGCGGGAGAGATCTTTGTACAGGACAAAACATCAATGCTGACCCTGCGCCACTGGCAGACACTTCCCGAGTTCAGGGCTGTCCCTGTGGCCTGTGATGCTACTGGTCATCATCTCTTCCCTGAGCACCCTGGGGTATTCACCGTTCCCCTACTCTGGGGTCTTTCCTCAAATGCCACCTTCTGGGGGAGAAGGGGGAATGCCTGACCTCCTGGCCACCCAGGTGCAAAAAACACCCCAACCTCACCCCCAGCACTACCTGGCATTATGTTCCGTCCACCACACTATGCTAGCTAATTTTTATAGCAATACTTTCTGAAAAATCAATGCGAAAATGAAGAGAATTAAAATACAAGTAGTAAGTCAACACAGAAAAATGGTGCATAACAGTGCATAGCAGTGCATAACAAAGGCTCAAAATCACCACATGGAGGAAGCATATGGAACAAACTCCACCAAATACCCTTCAGTTGCTATGTGCACTGATCTTTTAAAAACAACACCTGGGAGCTGAACCGAATGGAGAGTGACAAACCTCGCACAGGGTGAGCCAGAGAACACATCGCAGCCAGCCAGCTTCACTGTCCTGCCCCGGAGAAAAACGTGCTCCTCGGCTGAAATCCTCAACACACTACACCCACCTCCGTGCAGTCACAAGTGTCTTAAAAGTCAACAGCAGTTTCATCCTAGCTGTTAATCAGTAGACAAGGAGGCCACATACTTCCATAAAAGGATCTGTCTCTCTGCCCTAAACCACAGATAATCTCCGAGGTGCCTTGGAAGGTCACTGTTACAGTAGGGGTGGGGGAGCCCAGCAGGTACAGAGAGAAGGGTGGGCCAGCGCCCCAGACGGAGGGAGGAGTGGTGCAAAGGCCAGGAGGGTGGGGAACAGCAAAGAGGTCAGGGTGTAGAAGGAGAGGGACGGTGAGGATATGGGAACTGGGTGTTTACCCTGAATGGGAGCCACGTCAGTGTTTTGAGTAGAAAAGTGACAGGTGTTAAAAGAACACTCAGCTCCCAGGTTTAAAACAGACTGACAGCAGGCAGCCGGGAGTTAGGTGGCAGCAGGTCACACTTCCAGACCAGAACGGTTGCACTGCAGGCAGCCTGACTGGAGACACAGTTTGCAGGTAGAGCCTCTGGGATTTCCTGGGAAGGAGGTGTGAAAGACACAGGAAGAAAGGAGGACTCCAGGTCTGTGGCCTGGGCGACCAGAAGGTCCAAGTTGCCCTGACAAGAGGCTGGCCACAGCTTTGGTTTCTTCAAAAACATGAGTTCAAATGAATGGCCTACAGACTTTCTCTCTGATCACATTCAATGGCTCTTAGACCCATTCATGCTACAAACATAAGGACCTTCTAGAAAGTATACAAAGGTCTCTCACACTGTCAAGACGCTACAAGGAGCTCTGAACAGCTCCAAGAGAGTTCGGGTGTGAGGCAAGATACAGACTGGCCTGGTGACCAGGGCCTCGTATGCAGTTCTACATGGAGAGGATTCACTGGAGTACTGTAGGCAGCTGAATAGTAACAGAGACTCACATTTTAGACAGATACTAACAGTACGTACTGAAAATGCCACTCATGAGATGGCTGCCTTTAATTTCTGCTAATTAACAAATGGAAATCACTGTCAGACCCCTCTATCCCAGAGGATTAGGACATCCCACCCTTCTAGATGGACTTCAAGTCCCTGCTTTTAATTTTTTCCCTCTCAAAGGCTCACTCTGGGCCCAGCTCCGTGCCCGTCTGGGCATTTTTGTGCCACCTGCTTTCCACAGGTGAATGACTCTTTCCAACTTTTACAACTGGGCAAATAAAACAGACATTTATTGCAGCCGATTTTCCCCATCATGCTATTTTGGCTTCTCATTTGTATATTCCTGCATCAAACAGATAAAATTCAAAACCTAATCCTAGGAGATTTAGAAATCAGAATTTAGATAGTAAGCTAATTTTCACGGGCACCTAAGTACTTAAAAATCTAATTCCATCTAGAAGCCCTAATACGTGAATCCTTTTTAAAATAATCACTCGATTATTTATGGCAAAGTATACAGCTTACAGATGTACCCACCAATGCTGCACAATTCAACTTGTGAACCACCCAACAACTCCTGGGAAGCTGAAAGTAATTCCAAGATATTCTTTCAGAAGATCTATTTCCTAGGCGGTCTCTAACAGCCTCTGGCTTACCCTCCAGCAATACCCGAAGAAATCCAATTGCAGATTGCAGGCCAGTGAATTCCAAACCTGGATCAGCCTAAAAAAGGAAAAGTGCGTCTTGAATCTATCACGTCCCCCTTGGCACCTGCAGTTCCCAGACAGGCAGGACAGTGCATTCAGATAAGAATTAGTCCCAATGGCAAATGGCTTTATCTGGCAAACTCTTGCTTGGCTTGCTGGCCCCAAGGAAAGCCTAAAAATTCAGTGTTGGACCAGGAGACAGTGACATCCTCCAGTACATAAAGGCAGAAGACAAGAGCCTGGAGAACCTCTGGGGCCACAAACCTGAGACACCACGACTTAGCGATGATGTCCCACCAGAGCTGTCTCCGTAAGTGCAGAAACGTTATCTTCCCATAGTCTGCTCAGCTCTGCTGCTGCTATAGGAGAGTCCTCTGCGGCTGCCCAAGCTGGCCATTTAAAACAACAACGAACTCAGAACAAAGTTGCTGCCAATATGTTGCTGTACAAATGCCAAACAGTGACGTTCCTGGGAAAATGTCAAACTCACTTTCTCATATGTTTTTTCATCCTTCCCCGAAGTATATTCTTACAAATAAGGCAGATATTTTATATTTAGAATATGGGAAAGGCGGAAGGAAAGCCTTCTAAGAGAGGCAAGAAGCATCGGGCAGATAGAACACAAACCAGTATCGACGGGGAACTGGCCCCGGGGAGGCGGCACCGGCCAGTAGGTGGCGGTGGATCCACAAGTAATGCGGTGTCCACAGTCAGACTGCCAGGTCGCCTTTCTCACCCACAGCTCGAGCAGAGCAGCCACACCGCACCCTGACCCCAGCACTGTCAGTCACAGCACACAGAACGCATTTTGCCATTCTGAGATGTGTGATGAGAGAAATCCAGTTTGGAGTCCGAGTACCTGTGCCCTAGATGTTAAGTGTGCTCCTTCCCATCAGATTAGTCCTTACCTGGCCCTCGGAGGTCAGAGTCATGACTCCCCAGAGTTGTCAGAAGAAGCTGACAGCTTTAGGAGCACAGGATTCAGATCAGGCTGACTCCTACCATATTACCATAACTGTAATCTTGGAAAAGTACCCTTGCCAATTAAAAAAAAAAAAAAGGAACAACAGATGATCTCACAGGGTTATGACGAATAAGAGAAATACAGAAAATGAATTGCCTAAAACACAGTACACCTCCAATAAGTGATGCCTGTCATTAGCATTACTGGAAATGAAGAAGAACAAACTAGTAACAATAACTTGTCACTGTCCCCAAGATTTACACAGCTACTCAAGGGCAGGACCAAGATGGCAACTTTTTCTCTCTGTTCCCAAAGGGAAGCTCTCAAGCGTCCCATGGACAGAGACAATGGATGGAAGAACCAGGTCTGACGCCAATAGGACGACTTCCTTCATCCCTCAACAAGATTTCACAAGCATTCTAAGATGGCAGCTTTACAATCCAAACCAGAAAACATCTTGCAAAGGGTGACATTAGACAGGAGGCAGGAAAGACACGTTTTCATCAAAACATATAAATGGTTTTTATGAGAACGTTCACGGCAGCACTGTTCCTAATAACCCCCAAGCTGGAAGCCACCCCAATGCCTGTTAATAAGAGGATTGACAGATAAACCGGGGAGTGTTGATACAACTGAAAACTATGCAGCAATGAAAACCAACTACAAGGCTGGAACTCGCAAATACCATGTAGGGCAAAGTAAACAGATGCTGGGGACACGTAACGGAACGTCCCAGCACGCGCTGTAACTATGTACTTTTCTCATTCTTTTGGCATCAGACGTGAAGTTTACTGCTCCCGCACGTAAAATCAGCCTTCTGTACTAGAAACAGTGCATTTATATTCCCAGCCAAGAAAAAAATTACTCATACGTGTACAGTGGCTGTTCAGAAGGTCCAACAGCTGACGCTGGAACTCACAGTAGTTATACCGAAGTT